GGAGAGGGAGAAGCAGGCTTCCTGCTGAACAGGGAGCCCGATGCGGGGCTCGATCCCAGGACCCTGGGATCATGACCTGAGCCGAAGGCAGACGCCCAATGACTGAGCCACCCAGGTGCCCAGAGACACTATCTCATTTAATCCTCACAAAATGTTATTTCCTTTACACAGATGAGGAAACGGAAGCCTAGAGAGGAAAAGTGAATAGCTTACAGTCACTAATAAGCAGCAAATGAGATTTGTAACCGAATCTGTCTAGATGCGTGGTTCTCTCAACCAGAGGAAATTTTACCCCCAAAAGGACTGTTGGGAGTGTCTGTAGACCTTCTTGATTGTCATGACTGGGGAAGGGGCTCTAGTGACATCTAGCTGGTAGAGGCTAGGGATGCTGCTAAACATTCTACAATGCACAGGAGAGCCCCCATCACAAAGGATTATCTGGTCCAAAAGGTCAACGGTGCCAAGGTTGAGAAACCCTGGTCTAGCACTTCCCCTGGCCATTCTCTACCTTGGCTCCTTTCTAGACTTCTCCTGGCCTAAGAGATCTGGACCCCATTCACCGGGGGGGGCGGTGTCACAGGAAGGAAGAGCTGTACACCCTACCCCATTCCCAGGTTAGGTGCCAGGGTCGGTGCTCAAGCTACGGACCCAACAGCAATGGTCACCAATTTCCCACTATGGCACCTCTAATTTCAGTCTCCCCTGTCCATTGGAGTTCTGGTCAAAGCAGGAGATCCCAGCTGGTTTCATTGCTTATGGTGGGTCACCCCCAAAGCCTGCTCCTTTCATGCCCAGTTTAGGTTAGTTTCCAGATGTGACCACAAGATGGCACCCCAACCCACTGGGAATGTTAAGGCTCTGGGCCTGGGAGAGCAGCAGAGAGGATGTGCCAAGCTGGACAAAGGCCCAGGGGCTGGACTTGGGCCAGTTCCAGAGCCTAGCAGGACCAGATCTAAGGCTTACAAGTGCCAAGTGTGAGAACATAGGCCAAACTTGGCTTCAGGACTCCCTTCACCTTTTTCCAGTCCACTCTCACCTCAGCTCCTCCTGGAGCCATTCCTACCACAGAGCTTATGGAGCCCAGCACACCCTCCCCTCCAGCCAGAACAAGAGTGATCCCAGAGCTGAGGTGTTAAAGGATATAGGGCTTATTATTATTCGTCTGACAATAAAGAAGCTGAGGCATAGAGAAGTTGAATAACTTGCCCAAGGTCATAGCTAAGTCAATGATGGAGCTCGGATTTGAACACAGGCAGCCAGGCCCTAGAGTCTATGCTCCTGACCACCGAACAACAACAGCCCACTGGTAGTTCACTGCCGCCTCTTCTCACCAGCCACTGATCCCAACGACCCTCTGGCATGGGACCACACGCCTTCCTCTGCAAGGGAGGGGACAGATGGCTATGAATAAGGGGGTACCGTGCAAGTAGAAAGGGGTGAGGGTCTTGGCTGGCTGCGGGGCTATGGTTAGTGGTTGTGGGTGAGAAGCTAAGGCTCAGGCAGCAAATCCTCCTCCCACCCCTATTTCTCTGAGGCCTTTTTTTCTTTCTTTCTGTGTGCCCTCTCAGTTTTTCTGGGCTCTCTGCAAATGCCAGCCTTTTACAGTGTGAAAAGGAAGTGAGAGAAGGGACTTTTATGTCCCTGCTTAGGATGGGGGGGTGCATTCTTTGGGGCCTGGGCTGGGAGTTGCCATCAAAGATCAAGGTGAGAATCCTAAAGTGGGTCAGTGTGGGGCACCTCAGGGACAGCTCCCCTGTCCCCTGGGAAGCTCCTCTCTGAGCCTTCTCCACTTGCCATGTAGGGGATTTTAGGGTGTAGTGGATACCCTTTCACATTTCCCTTCACTCCAACCCTCTCCTGCCTCTCTTTTTCTAATACAACCTCTAGGGCCAGGCCTGACCAGGGCTCCTAATCATGAACCTTCCCCCTACTAGCAGCCTCTCTCTATCTCTCCATCTCTCCACCTGTCCACTACATAGGACACCCTTCAGCTTCCCACTGTGGCTCACCATGGGGTAGTGGCCTGAGTGGGCTCTGCACTGACTCCCTGAGAGATCCTGGGTATGACCTTCCCCTGACACAGCGTCGGTTCAGGGCTCCAGATTCTCCTGGCCTCTGACACTGGGATGCTAGGATCCCAGGCCCTCTCTTGGCCTTTCTCAACTCATCTAACTCTGAACGAGGAGCCGCCGTGTTCTGGGCACTGTGGAGGAAAGCAAATGAGCAGCAACCCTGGAGGAGCTGGTAGTCCATTTTGGGGGAAAAGATGAGTTATAGTGAAGGCTGGGGAGCGATACTCTGATCCAATGTGGGCCTTCCTGCAAGAGAGGGAAAAGGGGGAATCCTGGGCCTCTATGGCTGGTGGAAACACCGAAGGCTTTCCGAGAGAGAAGAGGGATGGCTGGCTGGAAGGAAGAGAAGGTTTGGAGAGGACTCTTTCTGGTTTCTCCCCATCTTGATATCTCCCAGCCAAGTGTGTGCATGTGTGTGCGTGTCTGTGTGTGTGTGTGTTCATCTCTCTGTGTCCATCTTTTTCTCTTCTTTCTGGGGGTCCCCATTTCTCTGTTTTATCACCTGCTTGGATTGGGGCAGAGCTTTCTGAGAGCCTGTGTCCTGGGGAATCTGAATTTGGGTGAGGCTGAGCTGCACCAGGTCAGGCCTCCTTCTGGTTAGGGGATGGGGATCACACTGATCACAGTGAGAGAGACACTTAAAAGCACTCTTATGCCTGCATTACTCTGAGATTGAAGGGGAAACAATTCCTGTTTAGATCAATCTCTGGAGGGAAGAGGTGCCATCCTGGCCTCAGACTCCGGCCCTCTCTTTGCCTCTGTCTATCTCTGCCCCCGTTTCTGCCCTAACTCTGCCTCTCTCTGTTTCTGCCATTGCCTTTCTCCCATCGGTCATGTCATGTTCTGCCCCTCGCCCTTTCCAACCTTCTCCACTCCTCCAAACCTTTCCCTACCACACACAGATTTCCCTGGGCTGGGATTTCCCTGGCCAAGTGAGGAGAGAGATATCTGAGACACAGCTTTGTCCCCAGGCTCACAGCCGTGTCCATAGGTCAGTGTAGAGGGACAGCTGTCTGCACAGTTAGCAAGTGCCGACAGGTAAATAAGAGCCTCCTGTCTTCTTAATTAAATCGCCCTTTGTCCAGGCAGCCTTGTGTTCGATTGGGTTGGGCTGGGATCAATAAGCCTCTTTCCTGGTGCAGCCAACCCTGGAGCTGGGCCTGACCTCCCCAGCCCTGCTCAGGCCCACCTGCCCTTTTCCCCAAAAGTCTGTGAGCCCCTGGAGGGCAAGGTGTCTTGTACCTTTGTGCCTGGGACAGAGTGTGGAGTAAGGAAGGAGTAAATGAGTGATTGAGTAAGCTGAAGCACTGGCAGCAAACATGGGCCAGAAAGGCCTGGAGCCCAAACTGTAACCCCCACCCCCAAGATCAACTGAGAAGCTGTGGGAATCACAGCAGGAACTGCTCCCATCCAGCTCCCCAGCACAACATCAGCTTACTGCCCAGGGAGGCTGAAGCCCGACAGGGAGAGGGGGGATATCAATGTTCAGGACCACTAGGAGCAGTTGCTCCTTCTGACCTCTAAGGGCAGAATACCCTTTTCATAAGGGATCCCCACGTAGCGATCCAGAGCTAGTGTGGGAGGGTCAGTGAGCTGGGATCAGTATGGCAGAGCTTGTGGCCCTCAATGGGAGACTAGGGTCAGCCTGGAGTTATGAAGGGCCCAAGGTGAGGAAGGGGTCGAAAGGCAAACATAGGGTTCCAGGATTATTGGGTTGTTAGGAGGGCTTAGAGGACAGCGTTGTGTGTTGTGTGTTTGGAGGATATTATTTTGGAGTCCATTCAAGAGGCACCCATGACAGGATCACGGGAGCTCCAGGTTCCGCAGAAAAGGCAGGTATTAAAGGTTGCTTGGAGCCGCCAATGCTGGTCCAGGTCAAGGTGTCTCTGATAGCGGTTGGGGGCGTCGCATTTCACAAGGAATAAGAGAGTACCTCGTTTGGAAGGGGAGGGACGGGTGCCGAAGCCCTTCTAACCTCAGTCTGACCCGGGGGGCGCAGGCCTAGACGTCTCCCGGAGCCCCGGCCCATCGCGTGGCGCTCCCCCAGGGCAGAGCGTCGGCGGGTCCCCCCCGAGCAGCAGGAGCCACGCGGGGCTGGCGCCCCCAGCGCCGGGGTTGAGGGAGGCCGGCTCCGAGCCGGGCTGGGAGGGGGGCGCGGAATCGGGGCTTTTTAGGACCCAGCGCGGCGCCTCCCTCCGGGGGCGAGTGCGGCTGCGCGCGCCGTGTGCTTGTGTCCGGAGAGCGGCGGGCTGGACGCGGACCGCGCGAGCGAGCAAGCGAGCAAGCGAGCAAGCGAGCCTAGCAGCAGCCCGGGCGGCAGCAGC